TAGGAAAATGCTGCCTTCCTCACTGAAAGATCACTTAGTATTTTCCGCATGTTGGCAAACCTAAGTTTTCTTGAAGCGTATTCGCATAAAACGTGGGCCAGAAATGGTTTGTTGGACAATGCTTTTACAATGGTCAATTATTGTTGACAAAAGATCATCTAATATTTGTCGATGTTATTTAATTTATCTTAAATCGCATTCACATAAAATGTAAGCCAGCAATGGTTTGTTGGACACGGCTTTTATTGTTGACAAGAGATCATCTAATTAGGAAAATGCTGCCTTCCTCACTGAAAGATCACTTAGTATTTTCCGCATGTTGGCAAACCTAAGTTTTCTTGAAGCGTATTCGCATAAAACGTGGGCCAGAAATGGTTTGTTGGACAATGCTTTTACAATGGTCAATTATTGTTGACAAAAGATCATCTAATATTTGTCGATGTTATTTAATTTATCTTAAATCGCATTCACATAAAATGTAAGCCAGCAATGGTTTGTTGGACACGGCTTTTATTGTTGACAAGAGATCATCTAATTAGGAAAATGCTGCCTTCCTCACTGAAAGATCACTTAGTATTTTCCGCATGTTGGCAAACCTAACTTTTCTTGAAGCGTATTCGCATAAAATGTAAGCCTGGCTAAGTTTGTTGGACACAGAGTTGTATTGAACGGAGAAGTAAATCTAAATCCTGTTGACATCAAAACGATTGTAACTTAAAACAATCGCGTACATCATACTTGTACAAGTATATTACTTTTTTATTCAAACTATTTTTATACAATGCTTCTAATGGTGCTTCGAATGTTTCCTAACTGCACTTTAAAGCTTCCATAACTCTGCCCTTTAAGTTGCAGCTCTGCTTTTTGCATTTCCGTTTCATTAAGCTCGTTTCTTTTATTCGTTTTCGCTTCGCGCCCGAAATCCCTATGTGACAGTAAAACTCCTTTTCACAAACTGTAAGCTCGCACGTGGCGCATGCATTCATACATACATACATAAATATGTGTGCATATTAAAAAGAATGTACTATTTATGTATTATGATGTCAGCTACTGTTGCAACCGGCTGTCAACTGACCGCCGCCCCTCCCCTTCTCAGCTGCCGGGACAGCCTACTCGGCACGTACCGCCAGCACCAGCGACGACAACAACTAGTGACAACAAAAGTTTAAAAAATATGACAAAAAAAAAAAGAAAAGAACCAACAACAACACGTGGTTAACGTCATAGATTTATAATTAAAAACCTCTCAACGAACCGCCAACGACCTCTGCATCGACATCGACATCGCCATCGACTCGTGGCTGGTTGCTGTATTTGATAATTGACTTGGGCTTAACGCAATTAACAAAGCGAATGATTGGTGGTCGATGGGGGGATGGGGGAGGGGAGGTGGGGAAACATGCATGAACAAATAATAAATAAATACATAATAGCAACAAATAAAAATAATGACACCATGATAAAAAATTGTACAGCAACAACGACACGCTGCGTCGCGCCGGCACTTTATATTCATTTGTGAATTTATTAAACAATATAAATAAAAAATAAGTTAATAAACGCTTGAAAACTGCCGATGCCATTGCTATTCATTGACTGCCAGCCAGGCAGCCAGCCAGCCAGCCAGCTGCTATTGCCTGCATATTGATGGGCCCATTGCTTGGCCATTGTTTTTATGGCTCATTATGATGCTGCCAACACCCTACCCCCCTCCCACACTCCTTCGCACACTCTACACACTGGCCAAATAAAATGCTCGATGATATCACGCATCTATAAAGTTTTTTTGTTTTTCTTTTCTATATTCATGAAATGCGCAATGTGCTGAGGAGGCCCATGCGATTATGTTGACGACTCTGGCTGGTCGTTGCTAAGTTTCTGCCTAAATAGATAATTAAGAAATCAGCAGTACGAGTATGGGCAACGGCAGATTAATAAACACAATAATATTACCCATTTGCTATGCCGTTTTTAATGAGTTTCAGTGCCAGCTGCTGTTAGCTACTTGCTCGTACTATATAGAAGGCCTAAAGACTAAAGCGTTGCGTGTCAACTGCCGACCTTTTGACTCATACAATAATAATAATAATAATAATATGCCGAAGTGGCTGGCAGCTGCTTCTCCAGGCCGGCCGGCCACCACTTCCTATTCAATCATTAGGTAAATGCTGTACAAATTTCTGTAATCCTCAAAAGTTAATAATACTCGTATGTTAATGTATGCTTTGCTGTTTGAGTCGCGATTTCCACTCTTGCGGAAAAAAATCGACAAAAGCAAAATCAACACCAAAAAATCATTTAAAATACACACACACACACACACAGACAGACAGACACAGCCAACCTAACAAACTTCACAACTTCAACTAACCATGAAAATCAAATAATCAAAAATAAGCTGCGACGGAGACGACTACGAAGCCATCAATTACCCCTCAGACCGACCCACCGACCGACCCTGTGCCCAGTTGGGAAAAATATTGTTCGTAGTTATGCCCGACGACAACTTCCGGCAGTTGGTCGGCCAGCCACAAAGATGAGCGCACGCTGATCAGCGAGTCGCCACTGCCAAGTGAACTACGCCGTAATTGCTGCCCATTATGAGGCTACCCATACATCCATACAGCCATACATACATACAAAGCATCTCTGTATCGACCATATATAGTATGTATGTATGGAGCCACTAGCCGGCCATGTGCAATGCAAAAAAAAAAAAAAAAAAAAAAAAAACTCAAACACAACGCACAGGAGGTTATGAGTGCGCGGCATCATTCAAAATAGAATGCAGGTCGATAGATATAAATAATAAAAAAAATTATTACCAGTTAATTATGCACATGAAACTAATTAATTGCCAGAGGATGCATGCGCAGATAACGCGGGAGAGATGGAGTTAACAGCAGCTTCTCTTCGCAGGTGGCAGCTATATACTCGTATATAGAAGCTAATGACACGAGTCATGGGCACAAGCGATCCTCTATCGTGCAGCTGCGCATGCGCATGCGCAGCACTAAATGCTAGACAGGGTGTCAAGATAATTCTCAGATCAAACGCAAAGGGGAAGGGCACATCACTGTCACATCCAAGCGATGCAGCGCGAACTTATAGATACAATCAAGCAGGGACGTACGCAGGGGGGGGGGGGGGGGGGTAACATTCCCCTTAATCTTTATTTATTATAATGGCGCGCTTCTTCGCGCACTTCTGGCACTAAGTTGGAGTTCTTAACGTTTTTCTATTGATCTATTATTATTTTAAAGTACCGTGCATTACTCAGTCAAAATTTAAATTTGTTGGAGCCCCCCTTGGAAAAATCTGCGTACACCCTTGCACACAAGCCTGCACGCCTGCGCACAAATATACTTCAATGGCTGGGTAAAAAAATATATATAGCTAAACATTATTTTTATGAGTGTCTTAAAACATAAATAATAAGTAATCCGTTTAGTGTTGTTGATTTACGGTCAAACAAGCAAATAATAAATATTCACAAATATGTCGAGAATCTAATGTGACTTGACAATGAAAACTACTACGAATTATATTTTAAATGTGATTTTCTTCTACAATAAACTTTTGTGCGAAAAACTTTTCAAAGCCTTTTGGTAAAATGTAACAAAAACATTAAATTTCTTATCATTATTATTATTATTAAATATGTATAGTACATATATAAGCTTGGACAGCCAGGCAGTCAGATGGACATAGTAACTGGATCGGCTGTGGCACTGCTTTCAAAACACTAATTTTTGCCCTCAAGTGGAGGGTATTAAAGGGCGGTTGGCCATTCACAGATTATTCAAAAACATAATGCGATCGGCAGAATGTTTGGCTTTTTTAGCTGTCTCAGTGTCTGAGATCGAGACAACCAAAGAAACGGATCTTAGTCAACAATGTTTTTCTGCATTGTTGTTCGATTAGGACGGAATGCAAATATGAAATGTTTTTTAAGAGCATATCATAAAATTGTAAGATAAAGTAAGCCTACAACTTGTTCTTAAACGGGAATATAACATAGTTTAGCAGCATGTTTACCAAATAGTTTTAATGGGAAAGTAAAGAAAAAGCTTCAAGGGTTAAAGGCTTGGCCTAAGTTGGCGATATCAAATGAGGCGTGTCGAAGCTATTTGGTGCAGCGGGAATGGCCGTTTGATCCATATGTGTGCATCATCCGTCATCCATAGAGGAAGGGGTAGAAAGTACCCGAAAATTGATTACTCCATTTACAGTTGCTGCAATTATTTTAGAAATAGCGCAGCTAATTGAAAGTCCCTATATGTAGATTGAGATAATTAAACTGTTCTCTGAGCGCAAGTTTCCTCCGTCTATGGCGTTTATAGACATTTTAGTTGCTTTCTATCGATTCCCGCAATTCTTTAGAATCGGTATATTTTCCATTCATCTCAACATCTCAAAATAAAAGTTGACGGCATTAAATTTCCTCTTCCTCTCTGCATATTAATTTGAGCTTTGTGCTAAGAACATCATTAAAGCAAGATTTAATTATAAATATTTCAAAGACAAAAAGCCGATACAACTTTTCAATTTGCTTCTCTTAAAAGTTGCGACAAAATTTCCACTTAACTTTCAATTTATTTTCATTGACAAACATTCGCCATGTAGCTCTTGCGAATTGGTTGTTGTTGTTGTTGTTGTTGCTGGGTTTTTTTTGTGTTTTTTTTTTTCTTTTTGTTATTTCGAGTTGATGGTGTTTTGTTTTTGTTTTGCAATGACTCTATTAAATTTCATTAGAAGTTTACGTGTTTAACATGGGCCTCAGACCCCGAAAGAGCCAAAGAAAACGACGATGACGATGAGAACGTTGACGACGACGATGAGTTTTTGTGCGACTCGAACGACTTAATGGCCTGTGTAGATTCAGAGCCTATGTAGAGCCCATGTACTGTACTCGTACTCGTATATAGGAGTATGCGAGTATGTATGTACATGTATACGGGCATATCAAGAGCTACCCTTAATAGACTTTTAATTACCTTTATGCCTTGTGCTGTGGCTGTGACTGAGACCGGGACTGAGACTGTGGCTATGGACTGACTGTTGCCTCGTGTTGATTTTTGCACAATGCCAACATGAAATTAACATAAATTTAAACTGTAAAGAGAAATGGAATACAATTGGGATTAGCATTAGGCAACATTCGTGGATATACTTGTATGTAAATAAAACAACACACACATACTACAAACATACACGTAGGCATGGCAATATACAGGTAGGCCAAAATATACATACATACATACATATGGTTATATGTATTAACCATTATTTGCATAAGCCATCAACAATCAAGAGTCGTCGGGCAAATGTCAGGCTTTACTTCTGGGATATATACTTAGTAGACGTGTATATAGAATGACGGCGCCTAATCATGCCACTCTAAATGACAGATTTGCATGTCAATGTCGTATTACGAGTATGTACGAGTAGCTGTTCTTTGTGCCAAGTGCCTGCAATCAGCGCCAGGACTATGGTCAGTTCAGTTCGGTTCAGCTCAGCTCAGCTCAGCTTATATCATGTCCCTTTGCTTGCACTTGTCCTTGTCCCGCTCCCCACTTCCCACTCATCCTAATGATGATGTTTGCAATTGAAAAGCGCTCGAACTTGACTCAATGTAAGTGCGATACAATACAAAAATTGACATGTAGCTTGAAATTTGTCACACAAAATTAGCTCAACGTCTTCCGGTCCTTCCTTGCCACCGCTCCTGCTGCTGCCACATATTTCTGCGTGCCAACCAACCAACCAACCACCCAACCAACCCCCCTGACATGTGTCGAGTGCGCGTCATTTATCAATGTGCGCCAAATCGCCAAGTGACAGGCAACAATAAAAACAAAGCGGCACAAGTGGCAGTCCTGACACGTGGCCGGAGGGTGCGGTGCGGGCTTTGGCAGAAGCCAGACGTTTTGGCGTATTATGCGAGATGGTGGGAGGGGAGGGGGTGGGGGGGGGGGGAGTTGGGTACAATGGCGTCAATGGAAATGTCGTTGCTGATTACAGACGATGGCAATGACGACGCTGATGATGATAATGACGACGACGACGGTAGATGTTTCCTTTTAGATAGTTAATAAGTAGGAGCAGAGCTATGACGTTTGATATTTATTTTATTGTTGCCACAGAGATTTAAATGCCCCAATATTGAAGAAATGTTATGTACGAGTATGCAGCACACAAATCCCCAACGATTTTGGGCTTTATCAGGCAAAGTTGCGTTCGTTTAATTAGCATGATCTGCATTTTGTTCAAGATTAATGATAGCCGCTGAAGTTCATATCATTCATTCACATCATCTATTTAATGCAGAGCGAAGGTGGGAAACCACGTCGCTTCAATGTCAAGGCCTGCCACATACGATATACTCGTATACATAAATCATAATCAATAATCAAAGCATGTGCTTCAATGACAAAAGAATGAACAAAAGAAATACTTAAGATGTGCCCACAATGTAATTGAATGAGCAATGACAATTTTAGGTTGAATAGAAACATAATACTGAGAGATATTAGAGACTTGCATGATGGAAGTTGCAGTGCCATAAATATACATACACGATAACTAAATAAATAATGATTCGTTATAAAGGGAAGGAAAAGCCTAGAAATTATAGCGCCTCTTAAGTTGCATTTCATTCGATAATCAAATATAGCAAGTTTCAAACGGAAGTCGTGCAATTGGCTCCACTTTTATACGACTATCTCTCTTATTCAATAATCATGCAGTCAGATAACTAATGGAGTTTGTGGACATATAAAAAGTTTAACACATACCATTTTAAATAAGATTAACATACTCATATTTAAACAAATTTACTTTTAAAGCTCATGCGAAAAAAGTAAAGTAGTGATTTATTCGGCAATCATAATTATGAATATTAACCCAAACATATACATAAATCGATCGAACAATTGTGTATTATTTATTTTTTTCTTCTCCATGAAAACAAATTGAATTTCATTCGCAATTGTACTTGTATGCAAATAATTCTTACTTTTTTTAATGCCTTTTTATTTCATGCACGGTGCACATGCATGGAGCGGGCTTATATATTTGATATGTTTATATGAATAACGCAATTAAAATTATTAACGATGAAGCCGAGCTCGATTCGATGTTGCGATATTTGACCGCACATGGCCTGGTCAGCCGAACATTTCCGCACACAATTATTTTGAAGCGACTTTCAAAAACTTCACCTGCCTTCAAATGAAATGAAATGAAAACTGTCAACAGATTTAGCGAAAGGCGCCGCGTGCTTTAAGGCCCGCTCCAAAGTCAAGTATCTGCAAATTCACAGACGGCCGCACAAATGTGCTTACGCGTCTGTAAATCTGTGAGTTCGTTTCGACTGTGTGCGCCAACTATGCGTATACGTAACAATAATGCTGGGCCAAGTGAGCAGCTCTGAGCAGCTGAACTGAACTGAACTGAACCGAGCTGAGCTGAGCCCAGCTTTGCTGACATTTCAATGACATTTTATCACTTTTGCCGCTGTTACGACAAAGTGTCCAATATGTTGACACCGGCCCCGGAGGCCCAGACAAGCCAAGCCAAGACAACTGGACAAATGGACAATCATGTATAGTACATTGTACAGCTATATACAAAAATTGTTGATTTTGTTGTTTCACTGCTGCACTTGACTTTTATAACGTGCTGTGCTCTGCATACTTGAGCACACCAGAGCAGACCAGACCAGAGCAGAGCAGAGCAGACCCGAGCAGGGTAGGCCAATGTTCCAATCGCGCAATTGAGCGCCCTAGTGGCCAAGCGACTGTATCTTACTGTCTGTTAAACAGGCGTGCAAACGTACTGTGCGGCTACAGTGGTTCCCAAGCCAAAGCAAGATTGAGCACAAAACATGCACGAGCTTTTTAAACACACAAGGAGCAAAGATTTAACAGACATGTCAAAAGTGTTTTTAAGTTATTTTTGAATTGCTTTTCCCAATTTCTACTTATTTTTTAATTGGGTAATTATTTTAAAACATTCTTTCTTGTTACATCTTAGCCACGTTTCTGGCCAAAATCGGCAAATCAAATACTTCAGAATATATTATTGAAATTCTGTTAAATTATTTTTCATGATTTCTTTGCTTTCAAGTTGTAGAGTCTATGTTTTCTACGCAATTAAATAAAATAAAAACTAGCTTCATTTGCACAAATACCGAAGCAACGTCCTAGATTAAGTTTAGTTTGGCTAGCTTCTTAATTTTCGGAAATCGAGGCGTTCATACATGCAGACTAATACTATATATTATTGAAATTCTGCTAAATTCTTGTTCACGATTTCTTTACTTTTAAGTTGTTGTAAGTTTTCAAAACACTAACTTCATTTGCACAAATACCGAAGCAATGTCCTAGATTAAGTTTAGTTTGGCTGAATTCTTCATTTTCTGAAATCGAGGCGTTCATACATGCAGACTAATTGTTTGCTCTCGAAAAACTTACTGATCTTTCCTGCACTTTTTCGCTAATGGTGACCTTTTGATTTAAATCCTACATTCAAACATACATGGTTTGCTAAATCCCCATTTTTCATTAGTCATCAATTGGAATGTTGACTTAGAAGTTTAATTTGTTGATGCGTTTAAAGCAAAGCATTTAACTTACTAGCTACATAAGTATATCAATACTATATAAGTGCTGCCTGGAGCCTGAAGAAACTCGAAAGAAGACCTTTTTGTTATCTATTTGAAGAACTTTTGAAATATGTTTTATAAGCGTACTAACCAAAACAATATGTAAAGCTCTCGTATTTGAATGTCTGGCACCACTGTGTGGCGTGTGTGTCTGTGTGTGTCTGTGTGTGTGTTGTGTGATGTGAGGTGGCACATTTTTCGGCTATTACTCGCATTTTCGAGGCGTTCGATGTCATTGTCGCGCTGCATTTAGTGTGCTGGGCACGCTTGAGGTTTATTAAATGCCCGACCTTGGGAATGTGCGTGGTGCGTGGTGGTGGTGGTGCTGGTGCTGGAGTGTGTTTATATTTGGCGGCATTTAGTTTTCAATTATAAGTATTTATAGACACACAGCTCATATGCACGAGCAGTATGTACGGCCTGTTGTTTTCTCACATGCTCAAGTGGACAAGGTTGCGCTTTGGAGTTGGCGCAGGCGTTGACAATTGGCACTCGAGGCACACTCCGACCTACCGAAAGTATACGAGTATTTCGACAATTGTTTAGGCGATCACAAGCAATATGCATGAATATTGTTTACTTTGATGCTATTATGGATTTAAGCAAATAATGATAATGATAATAATAATAATAATGGCAGCAGTAGCATTGATTTATTTACTCGCACATAAAAATTTGGGTATATGTAGGTGTGTGTGTGTGTGTGCCAATTAGTTGCAGCCACTTCGTCTGCAGCCAGGAATTGTGCAATCAATTGTTCAACTGATATCATGCAAAAGTTGTTGCTAATCGGCTCTAGCCAAGCTACAAGTAGTGGCACAGCATCGAGCTGCACTCACACAATAAATAGGAACAAGAAACTATGGCTAACATTTGACACAGCCTGCTTGCCATTTCAGTTGAGTTGCTGCCTCTGCTGCGTATTATGCAACGCAGGGGCTGCAACCAGCGGTGCAGATGTGCTGCTCTAAGCTTAACGATAGCCACCCAGCTTCCAAACAGCCATCCCCGACAACCATCCATTTTGTCAGCTATAGAGCCAACCAGCCAAGCAACCAGCCAGCAGCCACCAGCCAAACAGCCAGCCAGGCTGCAACATCTAAGCCGCTTGCCATACAAATTGCTGCAGTGGCGCCGATAGCACATAAACAGAAGCTGCATGCCACATCTTCAGAGCTGAGGGCCCCAAAGACAGTGAAACAAATTTCGCACAAGTAGTAGTTTCGGGAAATATCTTCTTTGATGCGAACTCCAAGTCATTGGCAACTTAACGATTACTTCTCTGAACTGTGATTAAGTAAAACATATAAATATTTTGCATTTCTTAGCTACTTATAAATAAAATCATAAGCTACATATTAAGTATTAATATTCTTTAGCAAATACGCTTAAAGTTTAGCCACAATAATGGGATTTATGAATGCAAAGAAAGCTGTTCAGAGTATTG